ACCTTTGTGGCTGCCTACATTTCAGTCTACCTCCAACAGAGACCTTGGGTGTGCAAGGGGAGAGAGTGCCCTGGTTTGGGGGGATATTTCTGTGACAATTGCTTTTGCTATGCTTGCTTAGTAAATACCCCTTTCTTTTTTTATTTTTGTTATCTTTTATTTTTGTCAATAAAATCGATGTATTTAGTTTTTTTTAGTTTTCAACATTCGCTTTTATAAGATTTTGAATTCCAAATTTTTTTCTCCCTCCCCACCCTAAGATGGCATGGAATCTGATATATACTATACATATATAATCATATTAAACATATTTCCATATTAGTCATGTTGTGAAAGAAGAATCAGAACAAAAGGAAAAAACCAAGAGACAGAAAAAAACAACAAAAAAAGTGAAAACAGGATGCTTTGATCTGCATTCAGACTCCATAGTTCTTTCTCTGGATGTGGATAGCATTTTCCATCATGAGACCTTTGGATATGTCTTAGATCCTTGCATTGCTGAGAAGAGCTAAGTTTATCAAAGTCTGTCATCGCACAGTGTGGCTGTTACTGTGTGCAACGTTCTCCTGGTTCTGCTTACTTCACTCAGCATCAGTCCATACAAGTCTTTCCAGGTTTTTCTGAAGTCTGCCTGCTCATCATTTCTTATAGCACAATAGTATTCCATTACATTCATATACCACAACTTGCTCAGCCATTTCCTAATTGATGGGCATCCTCTCAATTTCCAATTCTTTGCCACCACAGAAAGAGTTGCTATAAATATTTTAGTACATGTGGGTCCTTTTCTTGTTTTTATCATCTCTTTGGAATACAGCCCTAGAAGTGGTAAATACCCCTTTCTAAAAGCTAATAAATCTGACTGGCTAATTGAAAACCAATGGGGAGTATATCAGATGGGGTCTTGTGTGCAGCAATAGAGAATAAGGGAAAGGAGGAAGCATTTATAGAACACCTACTATGTACCGGACACTTTTACAAATATTCTCCCATTTGGTCCTCATAACAACTTTGGAAAGTAGGTGCTATTATGATCCCCATTTTATAGTTGATGAAAGTGAGGCAGACAGATGAAGTGATTTGCTCAGGGTCACACAGATAGGAAGCGTCTGAGGCCAGATTTGAACTCAGGGCATTTTAACTTCAGGCGTAGTGCTCTATCCAGTGAGCCACTTAGCTGCCTTGATACTAGAAAGTCCTCAAACCCTTAGAGTTACCCCAAGAGCCCTGAGGGAAGATGTAGTCTACTACTGTTTGGGGACCCAACCTTTAAATGTTCATGGGAGTCTGGGGAAATTAAGCTCAGCAGGACGCTATACTGAAAACAACTTGGTAGTATTTGCCAAGTATTTTTCATCCCCTTTTTACATATGGGAAAACTGAGGCTCAGAGAAATGAAGTGGTTTGCCCAGTATTATATAGCTCGTGAGCAGCTCGTAGCATCATTCGCACCTAGCACTCTTGATTCTATATGTGGAATTCTTTTCACTGCACCACAAAACCTGTTCGCCTCCTACTTTCCCAGTCTTCTTATGCCTTCTTCCTTTCCATGTGCTCTGCAATCCAAGTACAGTGGCCTACTGGTTGTTCTTCAAATGGGGTACGCCATCTTCCATCTCCATGCCTTTGTACTGGCTGTTCCCCCCCTGCTCCTGCCTGGGATGCCCTCCCTCCTCAGCTCTGCCGCCTGGTTTTCCTGGCTTCCTTCAGCCCAAGAGGCACCTCCTCCAGGAGCTCCTTCCGTGGGCTCCCAGCTGCTGGCGTTCCCTCCTCTGGACTTTCCTTCCTTCTCCTCTGTCTGTACCTTCGTGTTGTCTCTCTCCTGTTAGAATAGTAAATGCTCATGCCATTAGAGGGTAAACTCCTTGAGGGCAGACGCTGTTTTGCATTTGCTTTTTTTTTTTTTTTTTTTGCTGAAGCAATTGGGGTTAAGTGACTTGCCCAGAGTCCCACAGCTAGTAAATGTATGGGTCTGAGGCCAGATTTGAACTCAGGTCCTTCTGACCCAAGGGCTGGTGCTCTATTCACTACGCCATTTAGCTGCCCCTTAATAATTCTTTTTTTTTTTTTGCTTTTTTTTGTTGAGGCAATTGGGGTTAAATGACTTGCCTAGGGTCACACTGGGGTTAAGTGACTTGCCTAGGGTCACACAGCTAGTAAGTGTCATGTGTCCGAGGCCGGATTATGAACTCAGGTCCTCCTGACTCCAGGGCTGGTGCTCTGTCCACTGCACCACCTACCTGCCCCGCTGCATTTGCTTTTGAATCCCCAGAGTTTGGCCCATTTAGTAAATCTAAATTCAGAAATTCAACAGGTGGGGAAGGGAAGGGAGGACATTCGAGGGACAGGGAAAAGAGAGCGATCAAAAGCATAAGATGAGCCTATTTAAGTGTGGCTAGTGGGTTCAGCCTGGTGTTGGTAAAGCCTGAGTTCAAATGCTGCTCCAGACACTTATATAAGTGTGTCACCCAAGTCACTTGACCGCTAGGTGGCACCACAGTGCACAGAGCACCAGGCCTGGAGTCAGGAAGACTCATCTTCCCGAGTTCAAATCTGGCCTCAGTCACTTACTAGCTGTGTGACCCTGGACAAGTCACTTCACCCTATTTGCCTCAGTTTCCTCATCTGTAAAATGAGCTGGAGAATAAAATGGCAACTCCAGGTTTCTGCTAAGAAAACCCCAAATTGGGTCAGAAAGAGTTGGACACGGCTAGAATGACTAAGCAACAACAATCAAGTCACTTAACTGCTGCCTTCCTCGGTTTCCTCATCTGCAGAATGGGAATAATAAAAGCATCTGCCTCTCGGGGTTGTTGTGAGGATCAAATGAGATAATATTTGTAAAATGCTCCTCAAATCTTAAAATGCTATGTAAATGCTACTTGTTGGAATCAACTCTAGGAATCTATAGGGAATGAGAAGAAGATAAGGTTGGAGAAGTAGGGGAGTATTTGATTGCAGAAACAGTGACAAGCAGAGTAGTTTGAACTTTGTTGGTTAGGTAATGGGGAGCCATGGAAGATGCTTGAGCAGAGTCAGGAAATGAACTGAGCAATGCATAAGGAAGAAGATTCTGGTACGAAGAGCACACACAGTAGAAGGAAGAGGGGAGACGTGTTGTGTGTCCATGGGAGGAGGAGTCCTAGTCAGTAGGATTTTAAGATCACAGATTTAGAGATGGAAGGCCAGCCAGTCCATCCCCCTCGTTTTAGATGGAAGGAAAGGGGTCTAGTCTAGGGCAGTTAACTGACTTGCCCCCAAAACCCCCAGGAAGTCAGCAGTGGAGTTAGGGATCGAACTGAGGTCTTCCGACTCCATCCTTCTTTCCACCGTCCCGGGGAGTGATGGGCACCTAAGCTAAAGTGATGGCAATGAGAACAGAGAGGCGAGACCCAAGCCAAGAGAAACTGCTGGAAACGGAGCCTCGGGATTTGGAGGCCAATTAGCCATGCCAGGGGAGAGAGCTCGAAGGGTTAAACATAGCATGAGATCAGATACCAGAGCCTGGCTGAGTGGCAGAGTCGCCAACAGAAGGAGGAGCAAGTGGGGAGGGAGGGTATTCAAGGCGGAGGAAGAGAGGCAGGAAATCCCAGGATGCATTTGGGGAGCAGAATGGTCCAGCTTGGTTTTATCTGAAAAGCATGAAGATGATGACCGAAAGGAGGATCAGAGGAGCTAATCACAGAGGGCCTTGAATGCCAGGCCAAAAAAAAAATCTGGATTTCATTCAGTTTGGTCATGGAAGGAAGAAAGGAAAGAAACAATAATTTATTAAGCGTCTACCATGTACCGGTCACTGTACTAGGTTCTTTATGAATATTATCTCATTTGATTCTCATAACAACCCTGGGAAGTAGGTGCTATTTTAATCCCCTTTTTACAGTTGAGGAAACTGAGGCAGACAAAGGTGAAGTGTCTTGACCAGGGGCATATGCTATTGTTATCCCTGTTTTACAGATGAGGAAACTGAGGCAGACAAAGGTGAAGTGTCTTGACCAGGGGCATATGCTATTGTTATCCCTGTTTTACAGAAGAGGAAACTGAGGCCAAAAGTAGTTAGATGACCTGCCAAAGGTCACACAGATAGCAAGCTGGCAAGGATCCAAACTCAGGTTTACCTGGTCCCAGGTGCCATCCACTGAACCATTCAGCTGCCTCTGCATAGGATGATCACTATGATTTCATTGGTATAAGGAAGTCCTCTAAAGAATATCAGACCATTGCAAGTTAGCACCTTCTCTGCAGTTTTTAATCTTAACAGAGTTGCCTAGGGCACTGAGACAGAGAGTCAGGTCACATGGGATCTGTCAGAGTTGAGATTCAAACCCATGTCTTCCTGGCTTTGAGGCCAGCTAATTAACATGTTAATTTGGGGGGCGAGGGGCAATTGGGTGGCTCAGCAATATTTTCATGCAGAAGATGGCACCTGGGCAGAATTTTTAAAGGCTTGTAAGAGGTGGAAGTAAGGTGGGAATGCATTCCAGGCATGGGGTGTAAGAGTGTGGATGGACAATCATGTGTGAGGAACAGTAAGAAAGCAAGATGCCCATTCTACCACACAAGAGCTTAGCTCAGTGGTCACGCACCTGGTAATGTTAGAGGGCAGTGTAACGGACACTATCTGTTGGGCAACACTGCCTCTCCTAGGCTCCTTCCTAGAGTCCAATCCAGTCTATCCCAACAAGCATTTGCTAAAGGCCTTGCAAGGCATTGTGCCCTGGGACAGGGATGCAAAGATTCAAATGTCCCTGCCCTCAGAGAACCTAGGAGACCTCAGTCTCCTCATCTGTGCAGTGAAGGCTGTTGGACTGCCTAATCTCTAGGGCCCATAACAATTCTGTGGGTCAATGAAATCAGAACTCAAGTGAAGGAGGAAATGGGTTTACCTGGGCTTCCTTCCTTCGCCTTCCTCCACACTCCCTCCTTGACCTCAAGAAGCCTGGCTGGATGGGCAGGGGAGGAGCTCTCCGGGGCTGGACTAGGGGAGGAGTCATCTGGCAGAGGCTGTAGGATTCAGAGTCAGGCAAACTTCTGTGGGGATCACTGGGAGCCGGGCCCCATGGCCCTCCCGTCTGAGGCCAGTTACCTGGAAGACAAATGGCACTCGGTGAGGACACCCCGGGGACCCTCAGGGAAGGGCTAGCCCTCTTTTTTTCCTGCCCCCTTTCCTTCCTGTCCTCTGCGCCTCATCCCTAGGCACTCCCTCCTTCTTCTTCCCTCTATTTGCTATTTTTCTCCATTTTTCTATTCTCCCTCCTCGCTCTAGTACTATGCAATTGAACTCTATCGAGTGTCTCAGCCCCACATAGCCCCCTCCTCACCATTCTTTTTCATTTCTCATGTTAAAGCTCTCATGTTTCTTTCCTTTCTTTAATTTTCCTTTCTCTCCTCCCCTCCCCTTGCCTCCTCTCCTCTCTTCTGTGTCTCTGTCTGTCTGTCTGTCTCTCTCTTGGGTCTCTGTCTCTCTCTGTGTCTTTCTCTGTCTGTCTCCTGTTTCTGTCTGTCTATCGCTCTGTCTGTCTCCCTCCTCTATCTTTCTTACTCTCCTCCCCATCTGTCTCTCTCCTATTCCTCTCTGTCTCTCTCCCGTCTGCTTTTTTCTCATCTGTCTGTCTCTTCCTTTACTTCCCTCCCTCCTCTATCTCCCTCTCTGTCTGTCCTCTATCTTTCTCACTCTTCTCCCCCTCTCTCTCTCTCTCTCTCTCTCTCTCTCTCCTTCACCCTCCTTTTCTCTGCCTCCCTGTACCTCTGTCTCTCCTCTGTCTCACTCACTTTCCTCCCCATCTCTGTCTCTGTCATTCCTCTTCCTCTCTTTTCCCTTTACCTGCTATTTATTTTCTCACTCATGCCTCTCTTTTCCCTTTCCTTCTGTTTCTCTATTCTTCCCGTTTCCCTCCCGATCTCATAGGCACAAATGGCTCCCTGAAGACGATGCAGGAGTTTGAGCGTTCTGAAGCAATCAGGCAGTCCAGGCCCCAGACTGGCTCTTTCACCCCTCTAGCTTTAGGGCTCTCTGGGCTCTGGGATAGGAGGTGAAGCCCCGGCCTCAGCAGCTGTTTCTCCACACCTCTGTTCTGCTCCCCTTCTTCTCATCCCCATCCCTTCTCCTATTGAGTTTTCATTTTCTTGGAGTTTTAAAGAACCAAATCAAGGACCATGTTCTACCAGAAGCCTTTACCCATCCCCCTCAGTTTCCTCATCTGTAACATGGGTGGTTGTTCTCTGTGGGCTCTAAAGTCTCTTCCAGCTCCAGATCTGTGCCCCATGACCTCCTTGAGCCTCAGTTTCTCTATCTGTAAAATGAAGAGGTTGGAGTAGAAAATCTCGAAGACCCTTCCTGCTTTCAGATTTTTTTTTTCACTGAAAATCTCACTTTCATGTTTCTCCTCTTTTCTCCCTCCCCAGATTTTTTCTGCCATACAATGGATACAGTTTGTCATGGCTACTCTCAGGTACGTCCGTTTCACCTGGCCAAGGAAGGGCGGGCATGAGCAGCCGCCGACCCTGGCTTCTTTTGTCTTTTTTCTGCAGAGTTGTAATGTTCTTCCCTTCAGGGTGCTCCAGTGCCCTCTCCCCTAATGACATCTTGAAACTAAAGTGCGATGCTACCGAGTTGAGACTTTCCTCCCTCCAAATGAAATGGTTGATGTTAACTGAGATGTTTATAGCACTTTAAGGTGTGTGGACCTATTTGACTTATGTCTGCCTCGCAACAATCCTGGGAGGGTGTTGCAATTATTATCATTCCCCTTTTACAGATGAGGAAACTGAGGCAGACAGATTAAGCTAGTTAATAAGTTGAATTATAGGAGCGGAGTGTCATAGATCTAGAACAACAGAGAAGGGTCTTGTCCAACCCCTATTGTTTTAAAGAGGAGCAACCTAGCAGTGACTTGCCCAAGGGCACACAGCTACTTAAGTGTCTGAAGTGGGATTCGAATCCAGGTCTTTTTGGCTCTAAATTCAGTGCTCTAGTCATTTCCTGCAAAACCTCCTTAATGTCAAACTTGATGGCCAAACACGGTCACCTAGTCTGTTTTTAATTAGCTTCCTTTTAACCAAAATCTTTATTAATGTCTTTTGGGGTTTATAGACTCACCTGATGCAGCCTCACCACCACTTAGAATCCTCTCCTATAACAAAGAAAAACAGTCACGGAAATCTAACCGTACAGTGCCCACATCTGAGAGTGTATACAACATTCTGTCCCTGTAGGCCTCCACCTTTTTCACTCAGGTGAAAATGTGTTTCTTCCTTAGTCCTCTGGAACTGAGTGACCAGTGCCTTTAAACTGAGTCATGATTAATGCATGGCTGCTTTCTTCTTTTCTGCCAGCATTATAGGATCAAGTTCAATCATTGCCTATACTGTCTTCCAGAACATTATGAAGTCCCCAGAGGTAAGTAAGCCTCTACCTTTGTTTGGATTCTGGGTATTTTCATGATGGAGCTCTTAGAATAATAAGATCATAGAGCCAGGGAGGGAAGGGACCATCTCTAATCCCCTTGTTTTTACAGGTGAGGACACTGAGCTAGCTAGCTGGCATTTATGGAATGAAATGCTTTACAAATATTATTTTATTTTATCTTCACGACAACCCTGGGAGGCAAATGCTTTTATTACCCCCATTTTTCAATGAGGAAGCTGAGGCCAATAGCATAAGTGGGGCAGGATTAGAACTCAGGTCTTCCTGACTCCAGGTCTAGTGCTCACGAGGATACCTAGCTGCCCCTGCAGATAAAGTTACTTGCTCAAGGTCAAGTGGCATCCAGCAGGCAGATGCTTACCTATGTGTATACAATTAGCTTGTTAGCTGGTTGACGCTGATTATGTGGCCCCCATGGTATACGGAGTCCTATGTTAGGTCTGGTGAGGATGAGGAAAAATCTGTCTTCAGTTCAGCTAGCTGGATGCAGATCCAGGTCAGTCGGCCCTAACAGCTCAGGAAAGACACTAAACAGGGGTGGGGAACCTGCGGCCTCAAGGCCGCTGTATCCATTGTATGGCCCTTTAGGCCCTAGGTCCCCAGGTGCGGCCCTTTGACTGAATCCAAACTTCACAGAACAAATATCCTTAATAAAAGGATTTGTTCTAAAACTTGGACTCAGTCAAAAGGTCACACCCGAGGACCTAGAAGGCCACATGTGGCCTCAGCTTTCCTACCCCTGCACTCGAAGAATACTATTAATGACAATAGCAATGGCTCATATTCTTAATAGCATTTTGTACTTTCCCAAAGCCTGTCCCTACAACACCCTGGAAGGGTAGCACTAGATTTGGGTGGAGTTGTAACCTCAACTCTGCTAATGTTCTGGCTGCATGGTCCTGGGAAAAGTCACCATCTGTGAACCTGTTTCCTCATCTGTTAAAGGATGGAATTGAACCAGATGACTTCTAAGAGCCTTTCCAGCTCTAACTCACCAGGATGTTGATTTAGAGCTGGAAGGGAAATTAGAGATCATTTGATCCAACTCCTTTGTTTTACAAAGGAGAAAAATAAGGTCCATTTGAGGTCATTCAACCAGAGAAGCAGTGATGGTATAATGGATAGAGCAAGGGAATTTGAGTTGGGAAGACCTAAGTTCAAATTTTGCTATAGACACTTGATGCTGTAGTTCTATAACCTTTCTGAGCCTCAGTTTCCTCATTTGTAAAATAGGGGTAGAATCAGAGTCAATAAATAGTTATTAAGCACCTACTATGTGCCAGGCACTGTGCAAAGTGTTAGGATACCAAAAAAAGGCATAAGACAGTCCCTACCCTCCAGGAGCTTACAGTCTACTGGGGTGGGGGGGGAACAACACATAGAAGCTGAAAGAGATGGGAGGAAGGGAGATGGGAGGGAGGTGGTACCCAAGCAAAGGATGTGATGACTTTATGAAGCCAGGGAGGGAAATGATCTGAGGAGGTGTGAGTTTCCAAGTCGACTTCATCTTTCAGAATGATGGGTTTCTGGATAAAGTCCAGAAAGATAGGACTGACCCCTAACTCACAAGGGGTCTTCCTTTATTGTGGGGATCAAATGAGATAGTACGTCAATTGCTTTGCAAACTTGAAAGCACCATATGAATGTTATCTCTTATTTTTTGCTGCCATTGTCCTGGATCACAAAGGAAGAGTTAGAATTGGAACCCAGGACCTCTGAGCCCAAATCCAATGCTCTATCCACTGTACCATGTGGCTTTATTGGGAGGCCTGGGTTCAGTTTCTGCCTCAGATAAGTGGCAGAGTTTGGAGTTCATTCCCTGGTTCTCTGGCTCAAAGTCTAGCACTCACTCCTTTGCATCAGGATACTTTATAATTCTGTTTTACTAATGAGGAGACTGAGGGGGGATGGAAGTTGCAGAAAGGCAAATTGAGACTTGAGCAGCTACGTGGCGCCACAGTGTATAGAGCCTAGAGTCAGGAAGACTTATCTTCCTGAGTTCAAATCTGACCTCAGACACTTACTAGCTGAGCAAATCACTTAACCTTGTTTGCCTCAGTTTCCTCATCTGTAAAATGAGCTGGAGAAGGAAATGGCAAACCGCTCCAGTATTTCTGCCAAGAAAACACCAAATGGGGTCATGAAGAGTTGGACACATCTATAAAGACTGAACAACAACAAATTGATGCTTGATGCAAGGAAAAACTTTTTAATGATTAGAGCTACCTAATGTGTAATGAATGGGCTTTGACCCAGAGATAAATGAACTGTTTGTGATCCAAAGATCAATTGAGTAAGTCCAGAGACACTTATTACCATGTTGGCTTCAGGGACATGACATTGTTGGCCACAGTAGCTCTTAAAGACCATCTTACAAGCTGTAGCAGGATGTAGGAGCTATATCACAGAAAGGTAACCTAGGTCAGTGAAATCTAGGATTCTTTTTTTTTTCTTTTGCTTTTTGGTGAGGCAATTGGGGTTAAGTGACTTGCCCAGGGTCACACAGCTAGTAAGTGCCAGATGTCTGAGACCCAATTTGAACTCAGGTCCTCCTGACTCAATAGAGCCACAGCTCTATCTAGCTCTAAGCACCATCTATCTTAGCTAGCACCACCTAGCTGCCCTGAAATCTATGATTCTTAAAATACTTAGGCATTGATGGGAAATAGTCAAGAGTTAGGTCAGTTCCATTTAATTCAAGTCAATCAGCATTTATAAATCCTCAATTATGTGCCAAGGGCGAGGCTGCAAAGAAAAAATGGCTCAGTCCTGCTGTCATAAAGCTTACATTGTACTAAGGGAAAAATAATGTGATGCACATAGGAGTAAACATGAAATGCATATATATCAGCAAATAAAAATATAGAAAGTAAACACAAAGAAATTTCAGGGTGAATTTGCTATTCAGTCATGTCTGACTCTCTGTGACTCCATTTCAGTTTTTTTGCGCAGAGATACTAGAGTGGTTTTCCATTTCTTTTTCCAGCTCATTTTACAAATGAGGAAACTGAGGCAAACAGGGTAAAGTGACTTGCCCAGGGTCACAGAGCTAGTAAGTGTCTGAGGCCATATTTGAACTCAGGTCTTCCTGACTCTGGGACCCGAGCTCTATCCACTGCACCACCTAGCTGCCCTTGGGTGCTGAGGGTGGGTAGAGGGGGCATCAGCAAAGAGCTCATGGAGGAGGGGGCTGGTGTGTGTGTTTTGAGTGATGCTCTGGGTAGAGGTGAGGAGGGAGAACATTCTGGGCATGGAGGCTGGTCTTTGCAAAGGGATGGACAGAGGCAGATGGAATGTCAGAGAAAAGGCCAATTTCCCTGGAATATAGAGGGCACTTGGGGGAGAAGTAGGAAAAAAGATTGGAAAGTTACCACAGAGTCTGGTTGTGGGTGGGGGAACTACTGGCCCTATTGTTCTTCTGGTATAAGGAACTGCTTGGTGAGGAAGCACCTTCTACCAATACAGGTTGGCATGGTGTGTGCAATTTGCTGACTCAGCAATATTCCTCAAATTTTTATGTCCTCAGGACCCCTTTATACCTTTAAATATGATTGAGGACCCTAAATAACTTTTTTTTTGTTTATGTGGATTCTATCTATTAATAGTTACCATATTAGAAGTTAGAATATCTTACTATCATTAGGTAAATAGTTTTGACCTCATGGATCCCCTGAAAGGGTCTTGGGGAATCCCAGAGGTCCCTGGGCTACACTTTGAGAACTATTGGCTTAGAGAGTTACTTAGAACACTGAAAGGTTAAGTAACTTGCCCAGGGGACCCTGTCGGGAGGTTGCAGAGGGCGGACTGAAGAGGCTTCGAGGCCGGCCTCTACTGTGATGCTGCCACAGGGGCTGGAGTCTGGTCAAGAAAGGCTTTAACTGCCAAACAGATGCGCACATCTTATCTTAGAGGTAATAGGGAGCCATGGAAGGTGTTTGAGCATGGGGGGGGGGGTGATACATCAGAGCTATCAACAAAGACTCTGCCGACACTTTCAAGGGGAAGCTTCTACGGAAGGTCAATTTGACTCATGCTGATGGAAACGGGAAACTGGGGGACCAGAAAATGACCCTCAGATGGAGGAATCTTCTACTCTCATCAGTCAATCATTGACAATGACTGAGCTCTGACTCAGAGTTCCCTAATGTTTCTTTCCATTGTGGGAGCCTGAGTCCGGGTGTGGGTCAAGGACTGTGCAAGTAAGTGTGATTCGGGGAAGGCTGAAGGGCTCTTCAGGAGTAAAGAGGGAACACAACCTTCTGATCCAGTGTGGGCCTAGGGCTGAGGCAAAGAAGGCACCAAGCAACAGGCCCTGGAGGGTGCTGGATCCGAAGGCCCAGGACCTGGGTTCGAATCTTTGCTCCCTTAACTGCAAACAGCTTGTTTCTTCATTTGACATGTGTAATGGTTCTGCCCCCTCTGTTAGATCGTAAAACAAGGAAGGACAGGATTTCTGCCTTATATTTCCTTTGCATCTTCTTGCCTCTCTGGGCCTCAGTTTCCAACTCTGAAAAATAAGGAACTTGGATTTTATCAATCAGCAAGCATTTTTAAAATTATTTGTTTCCAGTGACCAAACATCTATTTTTCTTCTTTTCAACCCTCTCCCAGGGGAAAAAAAAAACAAAACCTTCAACAAGCAATTATTAAGTGCCTACTATATGCCAGGCACTGAGCTAGATACTGGGGAAAAAAGACTATAATGAAACAGTCCCAGGAGTTTACAATCGAACCCAAAGAGAAAACATATAGATAGATACAGATATAGATATATACAAAATAGATACAATGTAATTGGGGGCATTAATCGTTGGGAAGTGGAATCAGGTACAGCCTTGTGTAGGAGGTGACTCTTTAGTTGAATACTGAATAAAACTAGGAATTCAAGATTGGGGGACGACATACCAGGCAGGGGAAACAGCCAGTGCAAAGACGTGGAGGAGGGAAATGTGTGAAGAACAGCAAATCTGTAT